AGTGCCAGACTTCAGTTGCTAAAGACTCTTAGACGGTTTGGGGTGTACCACCGAATCTGGCGGACTCCGGGTCCCGGCCCTGTGGATAAGGTACTTTGTCGAGTCCATGCATGGCCGGTGGCCCGATTACTTTACGTAGCTCTTCGAGTGGTGATCCGATGCCCGCATTACGAATATCAATGGAGACGGTTTGGGAATGAAACGTGAGGTGCTTTGCACATGCGGTCTCCTTTTTGAGCTGACTTGCCCTCTTGCTCTGTTCTTCCCGTGGCTTGGCAGCCGTCCTTGAACATCGTGTTCCACAAGCCCATGCCAGAGCATTGCAAGCATCACAGTGTCACCAGGTCAATTCGAGCGCTAATGATTTGTACGGCGGTGAGCTTTCACTTGGGGAATTTGTTCTTGATCACACTTAATGGAGACCGCTTCCTCACTTGGATCTGGATGTTGCTGCCCGGCTGACATACTATCAGGGTTCTTCCCGTCTTTGTTTTCATCTTGGCATGGCCGGGATTGTTTGACGAGATGCGCTTGCTGTCAGGCTCTTTGTGCTCGACTTCCCTGCGACACTGTTCAACAGGGCTGCGGAGTCTGCGCGTTCCCCCTCTGAGGATGTGTTCCTCCTGGAATCGCCCGACCTCAAAGCGGACATTTCTGCCGGACGCCGAAGGCATCTGCAGACTGTTTATGGGCTTCTTGCTGCTGTGGTGGTGGCAACTTGGCTCGCTGTTGGCCTTGCGCGATCTGCAAGCCTCCGGCACGCCAATTGGCCTTTTGTCGGCCCCGACATGTTCTCCCGGGTTGGCCGCTGGTCATCACCATCACCTTTTCGTGACGTCCTCCTGGACCAGATCCGGACCAGGCGAAGAGCACGTGAGGAGCACAACTGAGTACGCAACCTCATCCAACACCTATCCACGGGGCCGTTTGTCGAAAGGCCCCTGCGCCGAAGCCAGCCCAGCCTGGGGCAGCGCTTGGCGGCACGGCAAAAGGCGGGTGCGCACAGTTCAGAAGTTCAGCTCCAGTAGCATCCCTAAACCAATAGTCAAATTTGCAGAACGGTCAGGTAAAAGGGTGTGTTGGCACTACACACACGAAAGTTGATCCAAGGGTACTCTCCGCACCGTCTCTTCGTTTAGGAACAAGTTGCAAGACGCTGCCACCTGGACCTGGTCGACAAGAAATTTCAACCGCCCATGCAAACTCGGTAGAAAGCTGCAGTTTTTTGTCATGTTCAAGAACCACAAGATTCAAAGGGCCCTTTCTGCCAGGTCCAGTCGGGCTTTCGGAGCTCATTGGTGCCTTGGGCTGCTTGATGATCCGATTTTGCGAGTGTACGGATCTTGCAGAGCTTCGGGTAAGGGCGGCCCTTGCTTCCGTTTGTTTTGGAAGGAAGATAAGCCAGTGCATTGTCGCAGTCAGCTTGGAACCCTCACTGCGAATCGGAGGCCGTCGATTCCTGAGCGGACGGCTGTCATGCTGGCAGCGAGTGTGTGCGGAGAAATGTCCAAGTGGAACCCTTCGACTCTGGGATACTGCCTGCGGGTACACTCGTCACTGTTCGGAGCAGAACCGCTGCGCCCGTTGTGCTGCAGTCTGGTAAATGTCAGCCTGAGATCTCCGAGGCTCGTGAGCTTTCGGCTGCCCTCCTGGCTTGTGCGAAGGCCCGGTGAAATGTGAGGAGGGAGAAAGCGCTGGCTAATGAACTCTTCTCCTTCCGGCCAGGCTCGCAATGCTGCAACCGAGGCGAGATCGTGCACCAGCCTTGAGCAGCGACCTCCTGGGTTCGTGGACGGGGGGGTTCGAATGTCACATTCATGGAAAACTGCCCTCATCATGGGATTCAGGGCAGAAATCTCGCCAAATTTCCACGTGGCCTTGCCTGCTAGGGTGCCCAAGCCGTTCAGCCAGCACAAGAGGCCTGGATGCAAAGGAGCTTGAAGGCAGACCCCACACGCAAAGACCTGTGCAGGCGTCTAAGCTGCGAGAACGCATGGGCGATCCCAAAGGAGCGGCCCTTGCTGCCTGCCTGGTTCCTCAGAAATCCCAGGGCGGCTCATTTCTGAGATTTTGAAGAAATTTCTACAGATCTCTGTTCTTGAGGTGAAGAGGCCAAGGCCTATCACAGCATGAAAGCTCAGGTGCAGCGGCATAAGTTTTGTTCTCTTGCTTGATCTGGAGCACTCGAGCTCGCACATTCGTCGCCGTCCGCAGGCGGCAACCCGAAAGGCAGCACTCAATGCCGTGGCGTTGGCGAAGGAAGCTTGTGACAGCAAGACGGAGGCGGTCTACTCTAGGGAAGCTTGAGACTGCAAAGCCGATTTCTGTTTAAAGAGGCTCTTGCCTGGCATTGCGCCTGTTTGGCCGGGGCCTGTGAAGGATGTGCTGTCTCCGTGGGCATCCGTCTCTCCGTAGTGAGTATGAGTGAGTGTGTGTTTGTCTGTGTGTCCTCATTGGCTTTGTACCAACCATGTGCCCATGCCTCATGCCCATCAGGCTCACGCTGCAGCAGGGCAGAAGCTTGATGCTATCAAGGCGATGGCAATGCAAGTTACAGGCTTATGCAGGTCGTGATGGGGTCACTCCCATCAGGATGCCCCATGTAGAGCCTGATGATTCTGATGAATTTGGGACACCTGTGTCGTCGGGATATGTCATCATGCGTTGATGGCCAAGTCAGCGAAGTTCTTGGGCCAGAGTTGGGAAGTTGTTCCTTGTGCAAAGTTGGCCCCCAGCGCTTACTCACGTGACGGGCTGGCACAAGGAGGGCATTTTGCGGCATCACCCCCTGCCTGCAAGGCTGGGAGGCAAGCGTTGACTCTGGCGCGGGAGGTCCGGGATGTGGAGGTCATTGGCACTGCCCTTCAGGCGCTGGCCCAATACTCCAAGACTCTGTGCACTCCACGTTTTCTGTGCTTCCTTTCTTGAGCCGCTTCGCTTCTCGAGGCTTTGATGCAGGCCAACGGTGAGGAGGACTTCGGGCCTCGTCAGTGAGCCAGCATGAAGCCAATGAAGTCAGTGCAGTGGTCGCTGCAGGAGAAGGCTGCTTCCGTTGCGGAGGAGGTCCAGCACTGCTCCGCTCGAGCCAGACATCCGTCCAAGAAGTTGCCTTGTCGGTGAGCCAGGAGCTGATGATGGCAAAGAAGGTTGGAGACCGACGTCGTGAGGCCAGCCCAGCGGGCCGCAGCGGGCTGTGATGGGCTGTGGGACCTGGTCCAAGTCCGTCTGAGGCTTATGCACAACTGAAGATGGCGCAGGCCATGATCGGTCAGGCGGTCACCCTCAGAACGCAAGGGCCAAGTGGGTCAAGGGATGTGAAGGGCCTGCAGTCGTGTGAGAGAGGATCGGCCTCGGGACGCCCTCCGGCGAGCTACCGAAGCTGCCGAGAGGTTGAAGGAGGCGACCGGTGCCGGGGGATCTGTCTCTACCCACGTGCTTTCACGTGCTTTGAACAGATGGGCGACTTGAAGGGTGAAGCGAAGGCCAGTCCTTTTTGAAGATTTCTGCCATACGTCTGCCGTTTGCCTTTTGAAATATGAATTCTCCATGTCAGAGTCACTTCTCAAGCGTGCTAAGCCGCTTAAGCGCGCTGAAGGCTACACAGCTTCTCGTCGAGCTTCAGTGCCAGGCAGGGAAAGATTTGCTCGTGAGGAAGGTTAGACCGCTTGGAATCTGGACGTGCCCTTGTCCACGAACCTGCAAAGTTCTGCATGCCGGCCATGGCACAGCACGCTTTTCCGATCTGCTGGCAGGCCAGACGCGCAATGGAGGCATCACGCACCGCAAAAGAGGCATCTCGGCTGTCTCGGTCAGGCAAGCACTGCCCATCGGGGGGTGCGCTCGACATGTCAAAGAGCCCCTGGTAGGGGAACTCTCGCATCCCTCAGGTGTGAAATTCAATCTTAACGCTGCACAGCCCGCCTCGGCATGCTCAGTTATGCTGATTGCCGAAAGAGGAGGAGGGAAGGGGGGGACGCCGGGGGGAGGGGGCAATCAGAAGGCAGAAAGGTGAGGGGGAGGCGGGGAAGGGCAAGGGAGATGCGCGGGGGCGGGAAGGGGGGGTTTGAAATTATGGGCCAAAAACGGGTGTCACGAAACTTTCGTTAGGTGGAGGGCACTGAGTTAACGCCCAAGACGCCTAAGGCCTGTGGCCTCGGCGGATTATGGTTCCCCCAGCCCCAACTCTCCACACTCTAGCTCGATCACTTGGGAGGACAGCATTTCCCGATCCTGCAGGAAGGTACTAAGCATAGGAGCAGGCCCGAAGACGGAGCCGGGGCTTGGATAGGCAAACTTGAATAGGTTGGTGGAGCTGGTCTTCTCGAACTTCGTGACTCCGGAGAGTCCTGCACCCACTCAGACTAGTTCTGCTAAGGCGCAGCGTCTCTTCAAGGAAGCTGGTGACATGAAGGCACGGCTGCACGGCGGCTGCACAGCACACAGAAGCGAGACGCTTCGCTTGCGGAGGGCTGCGTGGGCGTCCTGCAGATCCTCACCAGCCTCCATCTGGAGGCAGGTGCCGCGAGCTCCACGAAGAGACCTCGATAGAATCACTCTCTCAGTCAGAGTCTAGCAGGGGCAAGGGGAACAGTGCCTACGCTGCAGGCCGGGGACCCTCATGCTGCAATTCAGGCAGCCTGGCCCTCAGGCATTGAAGCACTAGGAGGGGTGCGATTTGTCGTGTTGGCTTAGCTGCCAGGCTCTTTCCGGACTGTTGCTTTCCAAACTCAGGCCCGTGACCAGGTCAAGCTCTTCAGGGAGGCAGGATTCAAGGAAGAGGAGGCGGGCAAACACGGCTGTTGCTGCCGTTGCATTTGCTGTTGTCCTTGTCGTCTTGAAGTGTCCCGGGTCTGAACCGGAGAGGCCTCAGCAACGCTGGGTCTCGCAGAGATGTGCGGAGCTCGAAGGGAATCTTTCGAGAGGGATGGGGCGGGATGGGGTGAAGGACAAGAAGAGGGGAAGCATGCCAGCCGGGCAAAGGGACGAAGCGGCAACCCAGTAGAAGCATGCTGAAGTAACGCAGCGCTTTTTGCGAGGACTTTCGTTGATGATGGGTGGATTGTACTCGGGTCTCACCAGTCTCTCCATGCTCACGTCGAGTATAACCGCTTCCTCCGTGTCTTCCGTCTCTAATCAATGCTACCCGAAATTGGTGTGACATGCCGACCTTTTTGACAGTTCTAGAGTTGCAGGGCACAGTCTAGAGTCTAGACCGTCCAAGCCATTTCCAACAGCACCCCTGCCTTTACCATCATTCCTTTCAACCCTTACTGTTAACGTCACTTGTCTGCTGTAGGTGCTGGAAATTCAAACGCAAAGCAACACGGTATGCCTGGCTCGCACATGGGCATGTTATCCATGCCTCATTGGTGCCTGCACAAGGACGCAGCAGACCATGGGACCACGGGATGCCTTGCGCCTCGCCAAAGATGCAGCCGGCCGCCTACGGTTTATGCAATGTGCGCCAGCTTATTATGGCTGCTGGCAAAAACACGGAGGCCTCTATGTTCAGCGCCGGGCACCCAGTAGTTGCACCGCAACCTGCGCATTGTGCCGCCCATGTCAGCCCATCTCACCAACTCGTGTGGTGCATGCTCAGACTGCGGGTGATCTTGCTGGACAAGCGCGTGCTCTTGCGCAAGTGGCGCAAATGCCACGACCCGAGCAGCCTTGACATCACCACCGCAAGCTCCAGCCCACCTTGTCCCTGTCTTCGAGTTCCTGTCGTGGAGTGTTTTGTTGCATAGCTCTCGCAGTCGCATAAACCTTGCTGAGGCACATGCTGCATGTTGTGCTGGGCACAGGCACTTGGGACTCAAAGCCAACACCAACGCCATGCAGGCGGCGAAGCAAGCCGAGGCCACTTGGCTTCAAGCCGATGCTCATGAAGTCACGCTAGCCGCTAGCAGCTTGTGCAGGAACTGGCCAGGAAGTCTGGGGATGAAAAGGTGCTCATCTCTGCGCTGCAGGACATCGAAGGGGGCGGGATGCAGAATTCAAGCACGAGCACAGGATCAGCTTCGTTTGAGTTGATTCCTTGCGGGGCACAGCAGAGGCAGTGGGCGAGGCGTACTCGTCCGCCGACAGGCTCGCACCAGACAGTCGCCAAAACGCACTTTTCCGTGATCCTTGAGCCTTTCAGGTTCAATGAGGGCATCGATGCCGCCAAGGAGGCTTTACAGATGGTCGAGAAGGCAGGGGGCTTTCGCAACGCTGCTCAGCGTCGCCACGGTCTTGCACTGAACCGAAGGATCCGGTAAAGGAAGATGCGGCTCGCGCAGCCGCTCTAGCTTGCCCTCCCACTCAGCATCCCTCAACACCTATAGCCACACGAGCCCAGCCAGCTTCAGGCATGGCAAATGTGCAGCTGCAAGTCGCCCACTACGACGCACCAGCCCCAACTTCCCGAGCTCTCGCTCGCGTGACCGGTGCCTTTCCAGGTGAACAACCCTGGAGCGCGGATTCGACCGCGTGGGCTGAAGGAAGCCATGAAGGAGACTCGGCACGAAAGCTTTCGTTTCAGAAGTTCAGCTTTAGTTCTTGTTTTTCCGGGGGGGGGGGGGGGGGNNGCGGGGCGGCAGAGAATGAATGGTTGGTCGGCCGCAGCATGCCGCAGGCTGCTGAGGAAGCATTGGATTTGCATCGGAAACTTGGTGACCGAAACGGCGAGGCAAGTGACAGAAGCATTGAAGTGTGAGTTCATCACAATCATGTTTCCACTTGTGCGTGGAAAGATCACTGGCATCCAGCGCATTTTCCATGCTCACCTCCTCAGAGCGCAGCCCAGACTTGGAAAAGCTTTCGCTGTTGGAAACCACTGATGCTATGATCCTTGTCCAATGTGTGGCGTGTGCTGAGGCCAAGACGGTCCGAACTCGCTTCGATATGCCAGAGAGTACATGGACCTCTTGTCGTTATCTTGCTACAGCATGAGACGATATATAACTGGCAGACACACTTGTGAGGAGCTCGCGCAGGCAACCGAGCAGAAGGAAAACCTGGGCAGTGCGTTGGTGTCCTTGTGTCAGGCCATCCGGGGGTCCGGGACACGCGTCGCAGAGCACTGTTTGCATCGTGTTGATCGCAACGGCAGGGCCACTTTCTTTGCCGAAATTGGGACGAAGCAGAGAGGGCAAACTTGGTTCCAACCTCGGTCACCGATGAAGTGTAATGTGCCGAGCAGCTGGTGTTCAATTCGTGGTCGTGCCGGATGAAGCTCTGTGGGGTGTCAGGAAGCCCGAGCAATCTTTGAGAAGTCCCGCATGCACGAAAATATCGAGGTGTGCGATCAGGTACGTGCCGCTTGTTTTTCAACTGTGTTAAGACGTGATTGTCAAGTGGAGTTGCCTTGCTCATGTGGGCAGATCATGCGGGAGATTAAGCAAGAGATGGAACGAGACAGGTGCGATTGCAAACCTGCGTATCAAGAGTTGTTCAGACAGCCTTTTGGCAGCGGCTTTACGAGACGCTCGCACGTTCACAGCGATGAGTTTGGATCATGTGACAGAGTCGTAGGGTCTGAAGATGTCTGAAGCTGAGCTCGAAGCGAAGCTCCAGGCGCCCGACGCAACCCATGGGCCGAGCAAATGCAGCCCAAGGGGAGCGGGCTCCCGGGAGCGCTTCGCCTCATTCCAAGTGGGCGGGATAATTTTCCAAACTCAGGCTGGACAAGGCTACAACTCTTTGCTGCCGGAGTGCCTCGGCAGAACCCGCGGTACTTCAAACGGACCATAGCGCCTGGGACGGGTTTTGCGCTGTGAGGAGGCAGGCATCGCGTGCCCAGCAAGACGGCAGCAAGCTCAGTGTTCTTAGACTTAGAGTGATTGTCGCAGATCCCTGGCGGTTCGCTTGTTTTTGTCGAGGAGTTCCATCGGGCGGCTTCCGCGGAGTCCCGGCAGGTGGTTTTGGCAGCAGTGAGTCTACACAGGTCAGCCAAGCCCAAGCATCCCAAGCAGCCACGAGAAGTGCCGCCAGCGAGAAGATGGCCAAAGGCTTCTCCGATGGGCTTCGTGGTGCCTTCAGCAAGAGTCAAGGCAGTCAAGGCTCAAGCGCGAGTGACATGGCCAGGACCCCAAACGGCACCTCGGGGTACAGCAGCAACAGCAACAGCTACACTGCGACAAGCAATGGCCTTGGAGGCCACTCGGCACCAAGTGCCAGCAGTGGCAGCAGAAGTGCCGGCTTTGGTGGGCGATCGTCTGGTTATGGTGAGTCCAGCGGCTCACGCTACAGCGGCATGGGAGGTAGCAACTCTGGATATGGAGGCGCCAGAGGTGTCCCTGCCGGTGGCTTCGGCAAGTCCGGAGTGCCGGCAGGTGGTTTTGGCGCAAATCAAGGTGTACCGGCAGCGGGAAGACCGGGTGTGCAGGCTGGTGGTTTTGGCGGGGTCGGGATCCCAGACTCGGCTCGGAACGGCACGGCCGTAGCTTCATGCCTCGCGACTCGAGTCACAGCCCAGGCAGCGAGTGCCGCGAATCAGCAGCGACCTTGATTCTGGCATTTGGAAACGGTGAGCGGCCATGCCTCTTTCCCCGTTCACGCGAGCCTGGAGAGCAGATGTTTAAGAGTCCCAGACGAAGAAACAGCACAGGCCACCTGACACCAGGCCCCCCGTAGAACTCTGTCTTAGACAGGAGTGAGATTCAAAGAGAAGTAGAGAGACTCTACGGCGGAGCGGATCGCTGGGAGCGGGGACGTCGCCTCGTCGCCTCTTTGAGGCCTCGGCCCGGCCGCTCGGCCTTCGCCGGTTTTGCTGGGCAGCGAGGCCTTGGCCGAGGCCCAGCCGGCTGGACAGAGCTGGGTCCGCGCGTGTCACCGCGTCTCGCGCCGAGGAGAAGAGTAAGCTGCGTCGAGGCCCGGGAGAGAGCTGTGAGCTGTGTTGCCATGTCGGCTGCGCGGATCGAAGTCACACAGGTCAGTACCTCATGAGCCTCGTCGTCGACGAAATTTGTTGACGGAAACTTTGAACACAGCAAACATGGAAACAGGGACCAGAAGAAGCGAGCAAGCGATAGATCACTCATGTTGCATGCGCATGCTGCTGGGGAGACAATACTTCGGGGTAAATGGACCGCAAGTTTGACGGAACTCTATTGTTTTTATCTCTCTCTTTCTCTCTCTCTCTCTCCAACTTTTTGTGGCTTGGCCCGCCTGTGTTGGGAAGAATCCCGAAACCAGGCGATGAAAGCCTTAGCTCTAGCTAGGGTGTGTTGATTAGGCAGCGGGCGAACGGTTCCAGCCGTGTTCCACTGTCGGTGCGTGGGCTCTTTGATGGTAAGTTTACCCCACCGTATGCCTGCGAGCGCATCCGTTTTGAGACAGCGCCAGCATGGATTTCGCAGCGTGGCCGCATCGCAAAACATCAGATTTGCCACAACTGCCTGCCACATGTTGGACAGGGTTTGGTCGTGAATGGGGAGCATGGCTCATCTTCAACACTCGGATGGCACTTGAGGCTCAAAGGTAGCTTCAACACACTTGACATGCCGAGAACACTGGGAGGCTAATGTGAGAGTCACACCTGCCTTAGCAGCCCGTCATCAGTACAGAAGTCGAACTCTGCAGTCCTGCAATACGGGGACGTTTGGGGGTGCTTCCCAGAATGGCCAGCTTGAGGCTGCAGAGGTGACACTCGCTTTTGCTTTCCGAAAGGGCATCAATCTTGCTTTCAGGCTGTGATGGCCGGCAGAAGCTCAGGAATCCTCGGCCAGGCAGTTCTTTTGGCGATGCGTAGGATGCCAGTACGCTGACACATGTCTTGAGATTCGGTGCTTGAGTAGTCGAGGGCTGCTGATTTTCACTTTGAGCCAGGCGCAATCGGAGGAGGCCGTGACATCCCAAGACAAACATAGACAAACTAGTTTCTGAAGCTCGGAGTGTTATCATGAGTGTGGCATGGCAACTGCAGTTTCGGCACGCATTTCCATTTCGATGGGTCGACCCTGTCTAGGGGACCGAACATGTTCCTGAAACAGACGACATGCGCTACTTGCGACCCATGAAAGCCGAGAGAGGAAGTCAATGGGAAACCAAGGTCATCGCTAAAGCTGCCTTTGCGACCGTGTGTCAGCCGTTCGGAAGCCCCCAAAGCTGGCAACCGAGCGCCAGGCCACTCACCAGCTACAAAGATGGCTTTCACAGGCGTCGGGCAAACTAAATGTAGATCCCACACGCTTTGACAAGTATGTCGAACCACGTATCGATGCCAACAGGAGGATGCAGAACGAGATGCAGCGAGAGCAGTCCTCCAGCGCCTGCACGCAACGGTCGCAGACCTCAGACAGGGCCAGTGTCACAAGAGCTCCAGTCTGAACGGAAGCTGACGTTGAATTTGCTGACGCCAAGGTGGAGGTTCACCGCCAGCGCCTTGTGTTGCTGCTTGCTCGACCTCCGGGCGGAGGCTGGGAGCTGCAGTATCAGCAGTGCTGTATTGTCTTCGTGCAAGTATCGTTCAGGGTTCTGCGCAGACTGTAAATCATGTGTCACGAGCTTGTAAACGCCAGCGAGAAGAAGAGACCACACACCGCGACAGGGCAGCCCTTTTAACTGAGGCTCTTTCCTGCGAGTATGCAAGAACCTGTCCGTTCTCACAGACGTGACAGAAACCCACCGAAGAAGACCGGCTTACCGCTGCTGGCGACTGCCGGCTGTCGGCTGTCATTTGATTCGGCGCGGAATGGCGACGCAGATTGAGTTTCCTGCCCAGCTGACAGGGCAAACCGGAGAATGCCGTGAATCCAACTGCTTGACTGTGCTGCTCTAACGCTGGAACTCGTGAGCCTTGCAAGAAGTGCGAAGAAACATGATCTGCCGCTGACGACAGCAAAACATTGCTTGACTTCAGCCGGTGAGGGCTTCCATGGTCTGTCAGCGGACTCATGCCGTTGGACAGGAGAAGTGGCAATCAGCCGCGCCAAAGAGGTGGTTCGAGACCTGGAAGCCGAGGCACAACATCAAGTTATGAAGATTTGGACAGGGATGATGATGATGATGCCGTCGATCATGGATCTTATGATTATGATTATGACGGGGTTATTGACCATCTTCATTTGGTATGAAACATGAAACAGTTATGAGCATCGTCATTCCATTGTTCCTATTTGCCTTTCCTTTGAAACTACTACTACAGTGAATAGTGACTACTGGCAGTCTTATCAAACGTCCAGAGCCCAGCACTCCTTCGCTCGAATATGTTCTAACAAGTTGCTGAACGGCATGATCTCTCTACCTGCGATTTCACCGGCCTTTTTGGAACATGTCGCATTGGTTGGCCTGCATGCAGTCTAACTAGTTGCAACAAAGCCACTCCAAGCGTCTTGCGAAGCTTTTCTTTTGGTGGTATTCCCTATAAGTGCCACTATGACGAGTATCGTCACTAGTGTCATTGTTGCTGGTGGTTTTGTCATCCGTATCTATGTTGGTTGTTCGTAATACGTACAGCCTTACCATGAATATCACCATTACATGAACATCATGATTACGTGTGTCATTTCCATTAGAATGCCTAGTTTTATCGGTAATGCTGGAGATTCTGTTGCAGGAGTTGTTACTTGTGCCATAGTTCTCACGACATGTTAGTGATTGTTAAGCTGGTTGTGGTAGTTGTGGTGGCTGTGGTTGTGGTGGTCGCTGTTGTTGTCGTTATTGCCGATGCCGCTGCTGCCGCTGCTGCCGTTGCTGCCGCCGCTGCTGCTGCTGCTGCTGCTGGTGTTGTTGTTTCTATTGGTGGTGGTGGGCGTATGTGTTTTTACAGCTTTTCCTGCGTGACAGCAAACGTGTCTTTGACTAAAACAGTTCAAAAACGGACCCAAAACTCAAGCAGCAAAACCGATCCCACCAAAGCATCATTCAACAAAGCATAAAAACATGAACGACAAATTCTGCAAAACATTGCATTCTCTACGTTTCCGCTGTTGTTGGTTCCAGTCATATTGCTACGACTTCTGCATTAATTACCTCAACGTTTATTGCCACTTCTGCTCTGCTTGTCATCCCCACATTGCCGAAGATGATTGCTGTGCCAGGTGTGATGCTTGTTCCGAAAACTATGACTGAAACTGTTGCCTTTGCTTTGCCGGTATGGCTGTCTGTTATCGGCAGCAATTGCTGCAGTAGCAGGCACAGCGGAAGTGTCGGTGCAAGCACACAACGTGGAGATGTCTCAATGCTTTTTTTTCCTTTGGAAGCCAGTCCAGGCATCCACGATTGACTTAGCAGACGTCTCGCAGGCACGGCTTCAGATAATCCGGCGGGGCCGGAGACCGGGCATAGTTTGCCTGTAGGGTGGAGTGCATGGAGCTCTTCTGCCTTCATCCATTCGCGGCAACCACGCGGCATCTTGCCTGAAGTCAGCTAAAAACTGCTCTTGGCCTCACGTGCTTTTGCTAAGTTGCTGCGTGCTTTGAGGTGCTTTCGCAGTCTCTGAAGGAGACGCAGCGGCAGTGCGACAGTCTCAACCGTGAGATGGTGCCTCTCCCAGTTGCCGAGTTTATCAAGCAACGGGCAAGGCAGAGGGACTGACCGCTTTCCATGGCATGATGTCTATCCGTTTGCACTTCCCTTTCCGCAGATCCTTTCAGCATTTCAGGGCAGAAAGATCATCTGAACTGGGTGCGACGCAATTTGGCCAATAGCCAGCCCTTTTGCAATGGGAGCCGTCAGCAATCAGGCCTGATGTGCAAAAATTGCTGCAGATATGCTTGTAAAACAGCCTATAAATTTGTAACAAGATCGTCACAGCATCCTGACATGCTGCTCCGTGAAAAATTCGCAAGTGTAGGCTGGTTCCTTTCTTCGCCAGACTTTTAGCATCCGACATTTCTTATAAAACCATCACCTTCAAGTAGCTCTGATCACAATGGCATCTTGACATTTCCCAGAGGACACCATGCTTCGCGGCCGCTT